GCTGCTGAATCTGTGCTGAAGCAGTTGTTAATCTGTTGAAACAGCTGTTAATAAATCAAACTCTTTTTTGTTCAGTCAAAAGGTTCAGTTTAGAAACGATCTGCTAAATGATTGACAGCAGATTTCTGCTAAAACTAAAAGGTCAAAGGTCAACCTGAGCCGACTGAATCCTGCAGGATTTTAGTTTAATGTTTTTTATTTTTTAGTTTAATGTTTTTTATTTTAGCAACAACAACAAATAAAACTGAAAACAGTTCAGTTTCAGTTCAGGAAGCTCAGAAGTTGTAAAAAATAAAAAAAACCTGGCTCAGTTTGAGACTGAGCAGATTTACCGCCTCAGACCAGTTTGTGTTCATCAACAGAACCAACTGATCCGGTTCTGAAGGTTCTAAAACGGTTCTGACCTAAAAACTTTGGAACCAGCAGCTCTTTCCAAAAACAGCTGAAGCAGCAGATCCACGAGGAACCCAAAAATCTAAAACCAGTGAAAAACTGAAAAGCTGAGTAAACATCTGCAAACATCTGCATGAAGGCAGGCGGACCATCAGAACCAAACATGGGTTCAGACGTTAATTAAACCGAAACCAGTCATGGATCCAGATCCTCTGGGTTCAGTTCTCCTTCAAATCTCAGAAACAGAGAACTCCACATGTCGGCTGTTGTCTCCTCATCGTAAACAACAACAACAGGTTTATTTACCCCGAAACCATCTGAGACACCAACGGTAAATCTGCTCCTCAAAGGAAAAATAAAAACTTTAAAGTTTTAAAATTGTTTCTTTGAAATGTTCACATCAAAGCTTAGGGCAGCACGGTGGTGCAGCTGGTAGAGCTGCTGCCTCTCAGCGAGCAGGTCCCTGGTTCAAATCCTGGTCCAGGGGCCTTTCTGGGTGGAGTTTGCATGTTCTCTCCGTGCATGCGTGGGTTTTCTCCAGGTGCTCCAGTTTCCTCCCACAGACCAAAAACATGCATGTTAGGCTGATTGGTAACTTTAAATTGTCCCTAGGTGTGAGTGAGAGAGTGAATGGTTGTTTGTCTCGTTTGTCTCTGTGTGTCCCTGTGATGGACTTGAGACCTGTCCAGGTGTCCCTGTGATGGACTTGAGACCTGTCCAGGTGTCCCTGTGATGGACTTGAGACCTGTCCAGGGTGTCCCCCGCCCCTCACACAGTGATCACTGGACGTGGACACCAGTGACCCCCGTGACCCAAAATGGAAGAAGCGGGTAAAGAAAATGGATGGATGGACATCAAAGCTTAACTTTACATCAAACAGCACCAAAAGAAAAAACAAACAAAACAATACAAACAAACAAACAAACATGTTTTTAGACTTTATGTTTCCTAAATTAAATCTCAGCTGCTTTGATGCTCAAAAAGAAAAAAAATGAATATAAACAGCAGTCCACACAATAAACAAACAAACATGTTGAAAACAAACAACAAACATGTCTAAAACATGAACAAAACGTGTTTAAAAAAGCTGCTGTTCTTAACGAGTCTGATTTTAACGAGTCCGACTCGACAAACCTCCAAAAGTTCAGTTGAGTCAGAAAGACCCAAAATAAAACAAAGACTCTGAGAAAAATGTTCTACAAACACGACGAAACATTAAAGTCTGAATCGTTTATTGAATCATTTCGTGCCTGGGTGGCACGGTGGCTCAGATGGTCGAGCTGCCGCCTTTCTGGGTGAAGTTCACATGTTCTCTCCGAGCTGCGCGGGTTTTCTCCCACAGACCAAAAACATGTATGTTAGACTGGCTGGTGGCTCAATTGTCTCTAGGTGTCCCTGTGATGGACTGGAGACCTGTCCAGGTGTCCCTGTGATGGACTGGAGACCTGTCCAGGTGTCCCTGTGATAGACTGGAGACCTGTCCAGGTGTCCCTGTGATGGACTGGAAACCTGTCCAGGTGTCCCTGTGATGGACTGGAGACCTGTCCAGGTGTCCCTGTGATGGACTGGAGACCTGTCCAGGTGTCCCTGTGATGGACTGGAGACCTGTCCAGGTGTCCCTGTGATGGACGTAGTCTTGTAGATGGGATCATTTTGTGCCTCTTTGTGTTGTGGGCTTATCGTTCTTCTCTTCTTCGTCTCTTGAGTCCGGGGGGTTTGAGAGCGGCACCTGGCAGGCGCCAAAGGAACTGCATCTCGATAAATCTGAGCTAGATTTACGTGAAAGGAACAACCGAGTCAAATGTTTCAGGACAAGCTGTCTTCCTGTCTTCAACATGATGTCACCGGGAGGACGCAGGTTTCTGTCCAACAGTTGGTCAGCTGCAGGACTGACGAGTTGGACATCTGGACCTCCTGGATCAGCCAGATCGTCTAGGAGAAGCAGAAACACGTGTTTGGTTGAAGAGTCCCGGTTAGAGCTGGTTTATCTCGTCTGTCCTGTCCGCTCAGACATCAGTTGATGAAAAACGTCGGATTAATCAAATCAACAGTTTTTGTGTTTCAGGTCGTTTGTTCCAGCTGTTCCTCGTAGTGCAGAACCCACGGAGGATCCTCAGGGTCTGTAAAAAGTCCGGGTGTTTTCTTGGTCTTTATTAATGGTTTCGTGTGTTTATGTACAGGAATGTTAGCGTAGCGTGTGCAGAGCTGGACACAGACTGAAACAAAGAAGTTTGTCTCGTAAATCAGGCCGACGGTGTTTTTAGAGTCAGGAGAAGCTCCATGTTCCTTCCAGAACATCGAAACGCTCCACCTCCTTGTTGTTCTCCAGCGTTCTCCGTCTCCTCAGGTCTTCACACTGCTGGCTTTACTCTGGAGTTTCCTGCTCCTCCACCAGCTCGTACGCTCCCTCAGCTGGCGCTTTACAAGGTCTGGCTCTCCTCCGGAGGACGACGATGGTCAGCAGGAAGCAGAGCAGCCCTCCGCAGACGAACGCCACCATCACACCCAGGAACCTGCAAACAGAGATTCTGGTCATCAGCTGCAGGTTGAGGCTGGTGGACTTCAGACAACGAGTCCAGAACCAGAAGTGAAACCACAACTTCCTGTGAGTAAAGGTCAGACAGGAAGCTGCAGCTGTTCACATCGCCACAGTGAAAGAAGGAAGTCATCTCCTTCCCGAGGGACTCCGTGTCTTCATAAAGAACGGAAGAAAAAAGCTTCTGGTGGAAGATGTGACCTTCACGACTCCCAGATTAGACACTGAACCTGTTCTGTGTCAGATCTGGTTTCAGATCAGTTTTTACAAAACGTAACGAAATAAAATAAAGAATGCATAAAAAAATGTGAACCCTGCAAGAAGACAGGAAACTTCTCCTTGTAGGTCTCTCCACAGTGGAACATCTGCCTCCATCTCACCAACTCTGTAAGTCCTCCTTCACTACATCCACCTCTTCAGGCCGTCTTCCACCTGCTCCCCTCTCTCACTGCACATCACAGCCGTCTGCAAACCTCGTCAGCCATGAAGACTCCAGAAGAGCATGTTCTCTGCATGAAACTCTCTGAGCTGCACGTTTTGGAGATTAGTTGTTGACTCAAGGAATGGAGACTGGTGAAAAGTTCTGCACCAGGAGGTGATCTGAGCCACAGCTGGTGTTCTGAGCCGTGGTCCCGAGGACCATAATGAATCCAGTCTGTACACAGAGGAGGACCATCACTGTCAGAAACCAGTACATCTGCTGGCAGTTGAAGCTTAAACAATCTCTCCTAAACATCTCAGGCCTCCACAGATCTGACATCTGGACAAGAAGAAAGGTCCTGAAGCAAAAAGCAGATCACTTTTGTGCATTTTCAACCAAACTGGTTCCAGTTCTGGTTCAGGGCCGAAGATGGATCCAGCTAAAAACCATAGAGCTCCTTGTTAGCTCCTGCTAAAGGTTTGATCCTCCTGCTGGTTCTGGTTCCTTTAGGATCACAGTCCAACTGGAGATGGTAATAAAACTGGTGTCCAGCAAACATCAGGTCAGAACCAGAACCGACTGGTTAAGGAAACACTGGTCTGAAACAAAGCATCAGGAGCATGAGGAAAGAGAAGGATCAGTTTGATGCTGCGTTCAATGACAACTTGGATTTTCCAACATCTGACTATCAAACATCAAAGCAAAGGTTGACCAAAAATACCGACCCAGGCCCGGTCCACGTTTTTAACAACAACACTGAAATTTCCACATCAGCTCACCAAGTGGTGAGAACATCCAACAACGTGTGAATAATTAAAAATGAAAGAACTTTAACTGTTACGCTAAAAATTCTCCTAAAAATTGTTTTTTCTTTAACACCGTTTCCTGTTTCCTCTCAAATTTTGTCCTTTAGCATAAAATCCTGGGTTCATGGAGACAGGTCAGGATAAAATGAGACAAATCTAGAAAAACTAAACCGTAAAAACAGATCAGTTGTTTGAGATTCTGAGGCATGAACAAGCGAATGTGAAAACAGGCAGGTCAGACATGAAGGAGTGGGAGCGGCTGTGAAAATAGGCAGCTAAGACGAAGGAGCGGCTGTGAAAACAGGCAGCTAAGACGAAGGAGCGGCTGTGAAAACAAGAAGCTAAGACGAAGGAGCGGCTGTGAAAACAGGCAGCAAAGACGAAGGAGCGGCTGTGAAAACAGGCAGCTAAGACGAAGGAGCGGCTGTGAAAACAGGCAGCTAAGACGAAGGAGCGGCTGTGAAAACAGGCAGGTCAGACAAAGGAGCGGCTGTGAAAACAGCTAGCTAAGATGAAGGAGCGGCTGCTAAGATGAAGGAGCGGCTGTGAAAACAAGCAGCTAAGACGAAGGAGCGGCTGTGAAAACAGGCAGCTAAGACGAA